CACATTTTCTTGGTTGCGCTTGTAGTTTCCATTCCGCACTGCGCACGAGTCCACCCCGCCTGCGGTGCGCACTACACGGGGGGAGAACGGGTCACGCCGCCACTACACGCAACTGAACAAGTCAAGGCCGCTCGCCACGATAATGGCGTGGACTTCGTTGTTGGCCTGTGTGCCCCAAATTTCGGTCGATACTTTTCTGCCAAGGAGGTGCCGCTGCTTGTGCTTTTGTTTGCCCACCGCTCGACGACGATTTCCGTAGGTCGGGAATTAATGCGCACTACTGGGGATATGTTCTGTGAACTAATACCACGCGGGTTCGGACCGTCGTGGGTTGTTGCAATGCTTAGCTTTCGTCTGCACTTGTTCATACTGCACGACGTCGTGAGGATGGACGCCGTCGCGCTGCTCATCGTTAAGCTGTACAACGGAAGGGATTGCCGCATGTGACTGTAACATTGCACATTGCGGTGATGGACAACACCATGGTGTACTTGAATATATGAATGCTGTATATATATATATATACCATTGTAGTGCAACGCTTTGCCAAACTGCGCAACGGTCTTGTTCAACTCAATAACATAGCGTCACTCCTCCGTCGTTTTGCTCATTCAACGGATGGTGCATTCCGGCGTGCCGCCAGACATCGTGTCACTAGTGCGTGCCATGCTGCTCCAGGTCGCATGGCTGTATGTTGACGTGCTGTATTTTTTCGTGAGTTGCATGCCATCATGCTGTGATGCTACTGCTGCTGCCACCCGTCAAGATGCTTGTAATGTTGTGGTCGGTCGGGCTGCGAACTGTTTTGTTCGTGCACTCGGCTGCACCAGAAACTCGCACGGAAGAAATGAATCCAATGAATCAACAACCAAAACAATAGTAGGGTGTAAACTGGCGAGACCGTCACCATTCTAAATTTCACATCGATGCGTAGAATAGCGAACATGATCGTCATATTAATTTCCCCAGATCTCTGCATATCACCGTGTGCCTGGTTGCTCATAGGGCGTGTTCGCGATCTCAAGGCCAACTACACGTCCAGCAAGTTGTGCAGACTTATTTCGTGGTTCTTGCCAGGAGCACGGCGACCTTTCAACAGCATTATGTTCGGTGGCTCCCTGACACCACCTTTCGCCTGCACGTCTCTGAGAATAAACGTTTTACTGTGCGTACTGTGGGCAACATTGCTGGTCAACATGGGCCGACGTCTTGAACTAACGCGTGCAAGACCACATACAAAATAGCCAGGCGAAAGACCCACCGCCATGCAGCTGTGTGTAGCGGAAGGCGAGGCCCTGTTCTCATGTGTTTGTATATGAATATGTACATGCGTATGTATAGGTGTATGTATGTACATATGTACATACACGTGTATATGTCTACGCGTGTATAAGGTTATGTCTGTATATAATACATATCACATCGTGCGCCACGAGGCTGGTGCGGATAGGCGATAGCCTGGCAAGCACGCTAAGGCAAGCGCGAAACGTGTGTGAGGGACATGCCGAAAGTGGGGGCGGGTATGCTATGCAACTTTTGCCACTGGGGCCGCCTGTGGAGTAATCTGCAAAAACCACGAAGCGTGCAAATATGTGCAGACATGGAAACGGGTACGTCAGGCAGACCCTGCCACTGGGGCCGTAAGTGGGTCTCCCTGCAAAGCCGCGGTGCGCGTGCGGGTTATGCCCAAAAAAGGAACGGGTACGCCATGCAGATTGTGCCACTTGGGCCGTACATGGAGCTCCCTATAGGGCCGCGCAACGTGTGAGGCGTGTGCCGACGTGAACCCGCGTACGCCATGCGGGCGCGCCCGCTGTGGCCGTAGGTTGAGCTCCGTATGGGGCCACAAAGCGTGTGAAACAAATTCGCCAAAGGCCCGCGTTCGCCATGCGGACGCGCCCGCTGGGGCCGTAGGTCGAGCTCCCGATGGGACGAGTAAGCATGTGAAGCATGTGCCCAAATAGACCCGCGCACGCCGCATGGACTGTGCCAGTTGTGCCGTGCCACGAACCGTGGGAGGGGTATGCCGAAACGGGCAGAGGCAGTGGGAGGAGCGAACGGGGTGAGAGACAGAGACGCGCGGCGCTGCGAAGTCAAAACAAGGACCCGACAACCAACAACGTTGGAGACAAAACACACGCGCGTGTGTGTGTACGCCTGTGTGTATATGTATGTGTATGTGGACCTCATTCATGCACTCAACGCGTGTCTAATTTACGTATTTCTTGCGGGCTCGGATGCCGAGATTCGCACTTATGTTGGCGTCACTACGGAGCGTGGTGACAAACACCGCGTGGAATGACAATGCATATATTCTGGCACTTACTGACCTGGACCATGGGGTGCCGTTTATGTAGAATATGTACTTGCAGATTTCCAAGCCTACCAGGACGACTTTCTTCGAAACCGACACTATGTTGCCATCGCAGTTGCCAAGCTTGGACTTCAATGCCGAAAACCACCCTCACAAAACACACATGGGCACGAATAGCCTGAAGGATCCAGCGCTCAAATCACAATGTGTACCGCATTCACTGGGCAAAGCACGTTATTGTGGTTCTAGGCCAGAGACGACACCGACTTTGCACTTGGTGCGCCGAACATGAACGTGTATCAATCACCCTGGCCAGATTGGGAACATCATTTGAACCTCGCGCTCTTGACTCTGCAACTCCGGCCGGTTACCTTCCATCCGTATGCGTTGGTTCGTCCACGCTTGTTTGATACACGTCCTTTGACCTAATCAAACTCGCATCTATTTTTCGTTGGTTGGACTTTCGCATACTCGCCTCTTCTGTCCCAAGGGCGCTCATCACGACCAAAGAAGCTATCAATAGGCCCCCAGGAATGCGACATCGAACTGACATTTTGGGGCCCTCCACTCCCACATGGCCCTAGAAACACACAGTGGGCCCCCAAGAGGCCCAGAAGATATCTCCAAGGCCCACCAAAGAGCCTCCAGGAGGCCCTTTCAACGGGCTCTCAAAAGCCTACCCCAGAGGCCCCATGAGGCCCTTTGTCAACGAGCTCTGCACGGTGGCGGGATGGGCCGAAGGCCACTCGACGCTCCGATTGATGGTGGCTGTCCGTCTTGACGTCGGGCGAGATCGTCGCTGGAGCGCGGAGTAAAATGGTGGGGCTATTTCTAGTGGCCATCATGGGCGCAATCGACAAGAACAGTAATGCCGGGAATGAGGAGGACGGAGGCACTGTTCACGTCTTGCCTCAGTTTGCTTCTCCTCGAGCGTCGTGGTCACATCAATATGCTGGTTAAGCTTGCGATACAATCATATGCAGTTTGAGGAACCTGGATCAGCCTCTTCTTCTCCATCTTCGTCGTCGTCGTCGTCATCATCTTCTTCTTCTTCTTCCTCCTCCCCCCTCCTCCGCTCTCCTCCTCTTTGTCCTCCCCCTCCTCCTCCTCCTCCTCCTTGCCCTCCTCCTCCTCCCCTCCTCCCTCGCTTCCTCCCTCTCCCTCCCTCCCTCCCTCCTCCCTCGTCCCTCGTCCTCCTCTTCTTCCTTCTCCTCGTACGCCTCGTCCTCCTCGTTCTCCTCGTCTTCCTCCTCCTTCCCTCGTCGACCGTCAGGCACACATGTGCTCGGCACTCGCCTGGCAGCAAGAGCTCGATCCCTCCCTCGTTGACAGCCGATCCTCCCTCCTCCTCCTCCTCCTCCTCCTCCTCCTCCTCCTCCCCCCACTCCTTCCTTCTACTCCTCCTCCTCCTCCTCCTCGTTCCCTTCCTCCTTCCTCCTCCCTCCTCCTCCTCCACCTCCTCCTCCTCCTCCTTCTCCCTCTTCTTTCTCCTCCTCCTCCTCCTCGTCCTCCTCGTCCTCCTCGTTCTCCTCCTCGTTCTTCTTCTGCTCCTCCTCCTCCTCCTCCGTCTCCTCCCCTTCTCCATTCTTTTTCCTTATGAATAGCTCCTCCCTGTCCCGAAGCCACTCGAAAAGGCGAGCGGGGCGTTCCGCGCAATCGTTTCACGGAAAGAGGGTGGGTCGTTTTCAAAATGTAGCTCTCGCTGTAGCGCCGCGCACATCCGTCTTAACACAGTGCAAGAATTTCGCAGATGGAGGGCGGTCCGCCTTCGAAATATGGCTTTCGCCTTACCGCCACGCACATTCGTGTTAAAGTTTTGCCGCAGTTTCATGGGTGGAGGGCGGGCCGTTTTCAAAATGTGGCTCTCGCCTTACCGCCGCGCCCATTCGTCTTAACACTTTGCCGGGGCTTCACGGATTGAGGACGGTTCCTTTTCAACATGTGACTCTCGCCTTAGCGCCGCGTGCACTCGGTCTAAGGGCTTACGACCGTTTCAAGGATTCTCGTGGTGAACGTCGCAGGAACTGTGTTTTGGCACGATGTCGGATTGTCGGGGCGCACAAGTCACGTTGACTCGTGGTGTTGAAGTCCCTGGAATGGTGTTCTGCCGCGGTCCAGGATCGCGAAGACGCAACAATCACGGTTAATCGCGGCGTTGAAGTTCGAAGAATGGTGTTCTGGGACTGTTCAGAATTTTCAGACGGTTGTCTTCTAACGGGGCACGTCCCTCAGTGAAAACGAACCCTTGTGTTGGCCTATGAAGAGGGAGCTCGGAGGGATGGTTTTACACTGTCCTCCTTCTCTTCCCTCCTTCCTCCCTGTCCTCCTCCTCCAAGTCCTGCTGCTCCTGCTCCTGCTCCTGCTCCTGCTCCTGCTCCTGCTCCTCCTCCTCCTCCTCCTGCCTTGCGTTCGCTCTTTCTATCTTCTCCCTGGGCCGTAACGAAGAGGGGACGCCTCTCACCGATCGGCGCAGCTGTGCTGTGCGGTCCCTCGCACGAATTACGCCCCCTGGACCGCCACGGCCATTGTTCGCCTAAGCCAGGGTAGATAAAATGAAGAGGAGAAGGGCAAGGAGGAAGGGGAAATGGATGAGGAGAGGGTGTAGGATGAGTACGAGAAGGGTAGGGTGGAGGGAGAGGGAACGGGAGCAGGGAGGACTGGGGAGATGGGTGGGTGGGGTGGAGAAGGGGGGGGGGGCATCAGGAAGGAAGGGACATCGCGCGGAACAGGGCAAGGAGGGTGATGAAAAGATGGGTAGGGATATGGTGCGGGAAGGACTTCTCACGAAGCTACAACTCGTCGCTCTTGCGAACCTTGACGTTCGCATCCACGTATTCCAAACCAATCTTGTTGCCGTGAATGGGGGTCCTGTGGGGAGGCCAGGCCAAGGGTCTCCTACCTCCCTCCTTCTCCTTCCTGTCTTCCATAATCCCTCCTCCTCCCCTCTCTCCCCTCACTCACTCGCTCCCTCCCTCCTCCCAATGTCCTCATTCCTCATCCGTCCATCTTTACCTTTCTCTCCTCGCTGTCGTGGTCGTCCTCCTCCTTCTCCGCCTCCCCCCTCTCTGTCTCTCTCCCTCTTCCACCTCCCGCGTCCTGCCTCCTGCATGCCCCCTTCCCTCTCACCTCTCACCCTCCTCTCTTCCTTCCTTCCTTCCCTCCCTCCCTCCCTCACTCACTCACTCACTCTTCCCTCCCTCCCTCCCTCCTCTCTTCCTTCCTTCCTTCCCTCCCTCCCTCCCTCCCTCGCTCACTCTTTCCTCCTCCCTACCGCCTTACTCTTCCGCCCGGCTCTACCGCCCCGCTCCCTCGTCGCCCCGCCTCCACCCTCCTTCCTCTTCTCTCCTCTCTCCTCCGCCTCCGCCGTCTGCCTCCTCTGTCCCATCTTTCCTCCTCCCCCTCCTTTTCCTCCTGGTTCTCTTCCTCCTCCTGGTTCTCTTCCTCCTCCTGGTTCTCTCTCCTCCTCCTCCTCCTCCTCCTCCTCCTCCTCCTCCTCCTGGTTCTCTTCCTCCTCCTCCTCCTGGTTCTCTCTCCTCCTCCTGGTTTTCTTCCTCCTCCTCCTCCCCCTCTCTTCCTCCTCCTCCTGGTTCTCTTCCTCCTCTTTCTCCGTCTTCGCCCATTTCGGAGGTTGCGCGCTAGGGTTGGCTGGAACTGTAGCGTCTGTGCGGCGATAAAACGTCAACGGAGACCGACTAAGGCGACACGGCCTTACTGTAACATGAAGCATGCAGCAACACGCTGATTATTGATAGCAAGTCTGGCAATGAGAACAGGCAAACTAAGATGAGCCCGCAAGGGCAGAGAGTAATCCCAGGGTGCGGTGAGTCAGAGGCGGAGGGGGAGACCACGATAAGCCATGACTCGTTCAAGGAGTCCAAAATAATGAGGGGAATCAACGTACCAAGCAAAAACACCATGGTACGCTCTATCGATATCTCCACACAATTTCTTCTACTCCTGCTCATCCTTCTCATTCGTCCTCCCCCTCGTCTATCCCGCTCCCCTTTCCGTCTCCTCCCTCTCCATCCCCTTTCCCCCTCGTCCACCACCTCATCCTCCTCCTCCTCCTCCTCCTCCTCCTCCTCCTCCCCTTCTCCTCCTCCGCCCTCCTCCTCCTCCTCCTCCTTCTCCTCCTCCTCCTCCTCATCCCCTTACCGCTTTTGACGTTGAGAGGGAGGACAATACACTCTTCCCCCTCCTCCTTCTCCTCCTCCGCCCTCCCCCTCCTCCTCCTTCTCTTCCTCGTCTTCTTCTTCTTCTTCCTCCTCCTCATCCTTCTCCTCCTCCTCCACCTCCTCCGACTACGAGCCACGAACTGTCGGCAGTAGGATTCGTTCCTCCGCCTCCTCCTCCTCCTGCTCCTCCTTATCCCTGACCCATCCTCCCATTACTGTTGTGGAGTCCACTGGAATGTGTGGGCAAATTCTCGCAACATGTGCGGCTTGCTCGCGCCGGTCGTGTAGAAGCTCACCCGGTGGCCGCCGGCCTGACGAGGGCGGAGGAACATGCCCGTCTTTTGCTGCTTTCGTGTGTGGCGGAGGGCCGCAGGATGCATACAGTCGGCGCATACGATCGTAAATCTTACAATGAGGATTTTGAGGGCAGATCCTTCTTCGACTCTGAGCACCGTAAGGTGCCCAAGGGCTTTGCGGGCCCGTTTGGGATAAGGGACTCTCGTGGGGCACCCGTTGGCAGGTCAATCTCCGACTAGATGTGCCTAGAGTTAGGTCGGGCATGTCCCCCTACAGGCGGATTTTGGGCGAAACATAAAACACATTCAACAAATACCCCCAAATAGTAAAAATGTCCCCCAACATCGTGCCCAGACTATTTCCCTACCTAGGCTCTGCCTAGAAGGGTTCTTACTCTCTGGGCTTAAAGGGGCCGGGCAGTGGAAAGCGCCCCGGGCGGTTCCCCCAGTATCCGCCCCGCGGTTCCCCCAGTTACGTCCCCTTAGCTTAGCGTTGCTTATCTCATCTTAGCTTAGCTTATTTCATCTTAGCTTAGCTTAGCTTCATCTTAGCTCAGGTTTATCTTAGCTTGGCTTACCTTCATCTTAGCTTCGCTGAGCTTTAGCATAGCAGAGCACAGCATATCATAGCGTAGCATAGCGCAGCATATCATAACATAGCCCAGCATATCATAGCACATCGCAGCATAGCATAGCATAGCATAGCATAGCATAGCATAGCGCAGCACAGCACAGCACAGCACATCATAGCACAGCGCAGCATAGCATAACACAGCTCAGCATAGCAGAGCTTAGCATGGGTGTAATTCCCTACCTAGGCTCTGCTTAGAGGGTTAGCTTAGCTTAGCCTAGCTTAGCTTAGCTTAGCATAACGCAGCGCTGCATTAGCATATCATAGCATGACACAACCAAGCATAGCATGTCATATCATGTCATAACACATCATATCATTTAATATCATAGCATAGCGCAGTTTAGCATATCATATAATGACATAACATATTTTAGCATATCATAGCACAGCGCAGCATGACATATCATAGCTTATCATAACACAGCATACTATAGCGCAGTATATCATAGCATACCATAGCGCAACATAGCATGGCATATCATAGCATAACAACTAATGCTGCTTTCCTAGGGGCTCCAACTTCTAGGTCGGGTCGCACTGGGATATTTTTTGACTATTCTGGAATATCCCCCCTGTAGAGGGACGCGCCCGACTTAAGCCTAGAGGGCGCAGGATTGGTCAGCATTGAATTGGAAAATCGGATCGAATCGGAGAGCGCGTCGGATCGGGCTGCGTCGGCACGACGTCGGGATCGAGCCAGATCGGCCGCGCCGAGATGCACAACGGCGCCACGTGAGCATCGGCCCGCAGCGGATCGGCCCGCGTCGGATCGTCGGAATCCAATCGGATCTGACGGGGCCCTGGCATACGTGCTGGCGCGCGCAATCGGGCGTGCTGGATTTGCTGTACGTTCGCTCAGGGCCGCCCCGCCGAGAGCTGATGGGGGCGCCGTCCCGCAGCCGGCGGAGACTCAAGGGAGGAGGGGGAGGGAGGAGGGCGAGGAGGATGCCGCACGCTGCTCCGAGGCAGCTGCTTTCCTGCCTGCAGCTCAGGGTTGAGAAACGTGACGCCTCCATCCATCCAGGCAGCGCTTGCCCCCCACCCCAAAGCCAGTCCACGCGCCGTCAGAGCGGCTGAAGCTCGGTGCCGCCGCTCCGCGGCACCCGCCGGCGCAGGACCCGGCCAGGACCCGCGCGCAGGGCAGGCGGCAGCACCCCACCGCAAGCGGACCTCGCTGGCGCGCCTGCCGGAGCCCCGCGGGCGTGGGCCTCGACACGCCAGGACACGAGCGCCCCTCCTCCTCCTCCTCCTCCTGCTCCTCCTCCTCCTCCTCCTCCTACTCCTCCTCCTCCTCCTCCTCCTCCTCCTCATACTCATTATCCTCCTTCCACCCTCCACTCCTCGCTCCTAGATCCTCCTCGTCCTGGTCTGCCAAGTCCTGGCTTCTGGGGCCCTGAGCTCACCGAGCCGCGGCCCGCGCCGGGCACAAGGCAGCATCCCGCTGCGCGCGGCACTCTGCCGCCCGCGACGACAGGCTTCAACGGCGCCCGGACGCCAGCGACGATCGGGTCAGCAAGATTAGCAGCATTGGCGCAACTGGCCCCCGTGAGAACCAGAAGCCCCACATACAGGGCAGCCTGTGGCAGGAGGTCTGGCACGCCCTCATTCTCTTTTGTGATGTTTTGTTTGTGTGTGTGTCTGTTTTCAATAAGGGGGGTTGTTTGGAGAGAGGGGAGAGGAGGCGAAAGGGGAAGACACGACGACCAACCTGAAAATCCACTCGTCACACCGTCCACCGCGGGCTTCAGGAATGGAGCATGGAACGATACGAATTACCTCGAGAACGTATCAGCGCCACGGGCATGAGGAGTACGAGGAGGGTGGGGGGCGGCAAAAGCGGTGTGCGTAAAAGGCGCCCAAGGGACCCCATGGGGCCGCAGCTGTGCGTGGCAAGAGGGCACATAATCGAATCGATAAGCCGGACTGGCAATCGAAACGGATCGGATCAAATGGGCTGAAATCGGCGGGCTTGCAGGCCCCCAAACGAAACATCGGAATCCGAATCGGAATCCGAGATCGAGTCGAATCGGAATCGGAAAAACCGTCGCAATCGAATCGACTCGAATCGGAGGGATCGAGGGATCGGGGCACTGCCGCTCGCCAGCGCTGCCCTTCCCGCGCGGGCTGGGCCTGCAAGCCGCGACGGGCTGGAGGCGCCTAGCCGAAGAGCGGTGCGCGTCTCGCCCGCGCCTCTTCCGTGGGTGCGCCGGTGGAGTGCGGGGCTGCTCGCGGTCGGCCGGTGTCTGGAGGTATACCCGTCGTGGGCCATTGTGCGAAGGAGCGGTGGGAGGGGGAGGGGGAGGAGGAGGAGGAGGAGGAGGATGAAGAGGAGGAGGAGGAGGAGGAGGAGGAGGAGGAGGAGGAGGAGGAGGAGGAGGACAAACACCTCAGTGCCCCCGGGAAGGCAATGCCGACCTGGGGGGCACCTGTCGAGCGGTCCCGAGTCACCCTGCCGCGGCAGGAGCCGAGGCAACTGCCAGCGCCGACGCGTCCGCCCCGCCTTGCCCTTCAGCACCGACGTCTCGGGGCAGTAGAAGGCGTATGCGGGTGGCTGGGATAATGATGATGATGATGATGATGATGATGATGATGATGATGATGCTGATGCTGATGATGATAATGATGATGATGCTGCTGATGATAACGATGATGATAACGATGATGATGCTGATGCTGCTGATGATGATATGTGATGATTGTTATGAGGATGATGATAACGATGCTGATAACGATGATGATGAGGATGATGATGATGATAATGATGATGATATCTGATGATGATGATAATGATAATGATAATGATAATGATAATGATAATGATGATGTTGATGATGATGATGATCACGATGATGATGATGATGATGATGATGATGACGATGATAACGATGATGATGATGATGATGATGATGATGATGATGATGATGATGATGATGATGACGATGATGATGATGATGATGGTGATGATCATGATGATGATGATGATGATGATGATGATGATGATGCTGATGATGATGATGATGATGACGATGATGATGATGATGATGATGATGCTGATGATGCTGATGATGCTGATTACGATGACGATGATGATGATGATGATGATGATGATGATGATGATGATGATGATAATGATGATGATGAGGAGGAGGAGGAGGAGGAGGAGGAGGAACGGGACGAGGAGGAGGGGGACGAGGAGGACGAGGAGGGAGGATGAGGAATGAGGACGACGACGATGAGCAGGAGGAGCTTCCTCAGAGTTTCCTGGCACCCATGAGTCGGTGGGGAGCAGGAGGAACGAGGAAAGAGGAGGATGCGGGATGATGATGATGATGAGGATGAGATGGATGGATGGATGGATGGATGGATGGACGAGAAAGAGGATGAGGAGGAACCTGAAAGAGGATGACTAGGGAAGCGGTAGGGGAGGATACGGAGGATAAGACGGCGATGAGGGAGGAGGACTTAGTGGATGGAGGAATGCGGGGGCGGGAATGGGGCTGAGGAGGGGGGGGAAGGAGGGGGGCAGGGAGAGAAGAGGGCATATGAGCGGCAGGGAATGGATGATGGGGAGGAGAAGGAGGAGGAGGAGGAGGAGGAGGAGGAGGAAGAGGAGGAGGAGGAGGACCAATGTAAACTCAAAGCTCATCAACGATGTTCGAATACACCCTCCGTCCAAACTCCCTTTTTCATAACCCCCTACAACAATTCATTTCAACTGAAGGAAGTATCCCGTATGAGGGGCAACCGTGCGAAAATCCTGAAGCGTGCCAAAACGCCATTCTCAAGACGTCGACGCCACGAATTAACCTGACTGGTACGTCTTGGCGATCCTGAGTCGTGCCAGAACACCATTCCTGGAACTTCAGCACCGCGAATCAGCGTAACAATTGCACCCTGACAATCCGGAATCGCTCCAAACCAAACTTTCTGGTACGTTAACCATGCAAATCACTGAAACTCTTGCGAATTATTCAAATGAGTACGCGCGGCGCTAAAACGAGAACCACATGTTGAAACATAACTGCCCTCAACCAATGTAACTCTCGCAATTTGTTAGAACGAATCTGCGCGGCGCTACGGCGAAAACCACATTCTGAAAAAGGAACCACCCTCAATCCGTGAAGCTCGTGAGAATTTTCAAAGCGAATGTGGGCGGCGCTAAAACGAGAACCACATTGTGAAAACTAGCCGCCCCCAATCCGTGAACCCTTTGCAGATTTTTGAAACGAATGAGCGCGACGCTAAAGCGCAAACCACATTTTGAAAACGACCTGCCCTTAATCCGTGAAACTGTTGCCAATACTTGAAACGAATGACGGAATGGAGGAGGAGGAGGACGAGGAGGAGGAGAAGGAGGAGGACCCATGTAAACCCACTACTCATCATCCATGTTGGAATGCACCCTCCGTCTAAACTCTCTCTTTTCATAGGCCCTACAAAAGCTCATTCCCACTGGAGGAATTGCCCCGTTGGCGGACAACCGTGTGGAAATTCTGTAGCGTGCCCAAACACCATTCTCATATGTCCAACGCCACGAATTAATTTGACTGTTGCGCCCTGATGATCTTGAACCTTGCCAGAACGCCATTCCAGGGACTTGAACACCGCGAATCAATATAACTGTTGCGCCGCAACTACCCTGAATCGCTCCAACACGCCGTTTCTGATGCGTAAACCATGTGAGTCCGTGAAAGAACTCGCAAGACAAAGAAAACGAACGTCCGCAGCATAAACGAGAAGCGCATCTTGAAAACTAGCCGCCTTCAGTCCGCGAACATGTTGCAATTTTTTAAATCGACTCTGCACGGCACTACAGCGAGAACCATAATTCGAAAACCACCTGCTCTCAAAGCGTCAAGCTCCTGCAAATCTTTGAAATGAATGCGTGCGGCGGTAAAACGATAACCACATTTTGAAAACCAACCACCATCAATCCGTGAAACTGTTTCGAATCTTATGAAAAGCGAATGAGCGCTGCGCTAAGGCGAGAACCAAATTTTGAAAACGACCTGCCCTCAATCCGTGGAACTGTTGCTAGTTTTTGGAACGAATATGCGCGGCGCTAAAGCGATAGCTACAATTTGGAAACCATCTGCCCTCCATCTGTGAAACTGTTGCCAATTTTGAAGCTCCAGGCTCGTACATGGTATTGAAATCTCGGGCGAAACGCCCGGCCCGCCCTTCCGACTGGCCTCGGGGCGCGACAGGAAAGAGTTATTAATGAGGAGACAAGGGATGGAGAGTGAGGGGGATGAGGAGGAGGAATGAAGAATATGACATCGAGAAGTGCATAATAATGAAGAATTGATGAATGGGGGGGAGCCGGAAGGAAAGATGGGGAGTGCTTGCAAATAGCGGAGGGAGAGGAGGACGAAAAGGAGGACATAAGAGGAATGGCTACGAAGAGGATGAAAAGGGATCATACGCGCTGTGGCCTCGTCCTCCTTGAGGTCGACCGAAACCGATGCCGCATAACTATGCTCGACCAAGATCTTAGACATGGGTCCTATATGCTCGGCTCCGACCTTGACAGAATACTCGCCCAGGAGATACTTGCCCATCGCGCCCTTCTCCTGGGAGAGGAGGAGGAGGGTGTAGAAGCGAGGATGAGGATGAGCAGCAGGAAACAAGCGAGGAGGATCATGATGAGGGTGGAGGCTGGATGGGGGAGTAGGAAGAGAGGGATAGGAGAGGATGGAGGAACACGAGAGAGGGCGCGGAGGGGGAGGGGCAGGACGATGAGGAGGAAGAGGACCACAAGCATGAGTGGGATAAGGGGGAAGAAGAGGAGGAGGATCAGGGCGTAGTGAAGAGGGAGTGGGAGGATGAAGAATTAGGGGGGCGGGAAGATGGAGGAGGAGGAATGACGAGAGAGGAAGCGGAATGAAGGAAGACGAGATTCTGGCTGATCGTGCCCTTCTCCTTGATCAGGTTCCCGGTCGAGTGCGACACTATGATCGGCGACTGGTGCGGATGGACCCCCTCGACGGCAGTGCGGAGCCTAGCGGAAAAGGTGGAGGAGAGAGGTGGGAGGAGGGGGACGAGGAGCAGGGTGACGGATGCAGAGAGGAGGGGGAGGATGAAGACAGAGGACAGCTATTGGAATCTGAGGAATACCTGCATGTATATACGGAGAGTTACGTGTACGTATGTATGTTTGCATGAATGTAACTGTGTACGTACGCACTTACGCATGCATGCATGTATGCATGTATGTATGTATGTATGTATGTATGTATGTATGTATGTATGTATGTATGTATGTATGTATGTCCGTGTGTATGTATGTATGTATGTATGTATGTATGTATGGATGTATTTATGTATGTATGCATGGATGTATATACATATAACACGTATGTATAGTGTGTAGGTTTGCGTATGTCTGTGTATGCATACATCGATATATACATTATGTGCATGTGCATGAATGACTGCACGTATACATGAATGATCTATGTCTGCCTGTATGTACGTATGTATGTATGCACGTATGTGTATATTTACCGATGTATGTGTGTATGCATGTATGTGTGTATGTATGCGTATATATATACACGTGTATACATTTATGACTAGATGCAGGACTACATCCATACATGCGCGTAGATATGTATCCACATATGTATGCATGAATGTATGTATGCACGCAGATAGGTATGTATGTTCGTATGTATGCAAATTTGTTTGTATGCATTTATGCATGTACGTATGTATGTCTGCACGTCTGCATGTCTGCATGTATGTATGCATGTATGTATGTAAACGTACATGCGTGCACCCGTGTTTGTATGTATGTATGCATACATGCATGCATGCATGCATGTATCTATGAATGTACATGTCTTTGCTTATACATGTGCGTGTATGTGTGTATGTGTGTATATGAATATGTATGTACATATGTACGTACGTATGTATGCATGTATATATTACATACGTACGTTCGTATGTCGCTGTGTATCCCTGTCGAACTCTACATGTAGTTGTGTGTATGTATACACACAACAAGAGATATTGACAAGAGCGGCAGGAGGAGGAAGAGGAGGACAAATATGAGGAACCCGCGCGTGCGGGATGGATGATGTCGAGGGAACGGATGAGTAGGACTACGACTAGGACGGTGGCCTGCAACCGAACAGGCATTACAAGAAAAGGAAGCACACTGGCAAGCACATGGGGCGGCCGCGCATAGTGCGAACCGCTCACCCCAGCCATGCCCCCAACAGCGGACAAACATGGGCCGCAAAAAGGGCCAAACAAGCAAACGCAAAACAATGAAGGACCCGACCACTCCACAGTGTAGTAAGGTGACTGGCCCAAGAGGAGAGCATGTTAGGCAGAAGCTGATCGTTACACGAGTCCGCTGCCGAATTGGACATGCCACGACTGAGGGAGGGCATGAGGGGGAATATGAGAAAGGGAAAAGGGGGGAGGACGGATGATGACGCAAAAGGAGGGACGGAGGAAGCAGGGAAGAGGGGGGGGGCGGAGCACCGCTGTAAGAGATAGGAGGAGGAGGGGGGAAGAAAAGAAGGATGAGAGCGGCGAAGAGTGCACGGCAAAATCGTATCGTGCCGACTTCGGCGTTGGTTTCTGACACCGCGGGGATTGTTCAACGTTGACAGATTGCCCGTTTCTGTAATGTCAGATCGTTCAACATCGACCGACTCTGGGTCGCTGGCGGCGTTCAACGCTGAACGCCGGCAGAGGGTCGCCGCCGGCCGACACGACGCAAACCTCCCGTAAAAAGGAAGATGGACGCGGAGGCAAAGAACGGACCTTCTCGAGAGCAGAACGGAGCCTGTCGACGTTCAGTGCGGAGTCCACCGTGAACCTCACCTCTCTTTCCTCGACGACCGCGCCGTCGCGCCGGTAGAACGACTGCACGTCTGCGGTGTGTATCTGGAGATCCTTCTCATCGCGGAAGAATGGGAGGAGGGATGATGACGAGGAGGAGGATGGGGAACATGAGAAATGTGAGCAGGAAGAGGAGGGGGGAGGATAATGTGAAGGAGGACGAGGATGAAAAGGGAGAGGAATGAGAGGGAGGAGCGCGATACTTTTAATGATCAGCGGTTGGAGGAAGAGGAGGATGACACCAGCTCACCCAGCAGTAATCATGCATAGGCAAACGATCACAAAGAGAAGGAGGAGGAGGTGGATATGGGCTACTTTTGAATAGCATGAGGGATGACTAGGATGATGGTGAAGAGGAGGTGTAGTAATACTGTTGTCGATATGATGTGCCTTTCGCAACAAACGGTCGTGCCCTGCTGCGGGCAAGTCGCAAGAGGCTAAGCCTTCCCTCCGTTCTATCGTCGGGTGGGCTTGTAGCAGAAAGCGGCGTCGGGAAGGGAGGTAGGTGGATGTGGCAGCAGTGATCTTCTACACTTTTACCCTGCTGGTTTTCCCTCCTCATACTTCCTGTACTTCGCCCGCCCACACGGTGGGCGGGCGCACGCAAAAAGGCACATGCCTCCACCGTACGCCGTAAGCAGATGTGATCCGCTGATGGGATCACGGCGGGATCTTCGTCCCGAAGGGTCCTCCACCGGAGGCACAAAAAAGGGCACCTACCTCCACTGGAGGCGGTAACGAACCGCGGATGGGTTCTTCGCGGGATCTTCGTCCCGAAAGTCCTCGACCAGAGGACGACGTAGGCTTGGACTCAGCCGCTTGCGCGATCTTCGTCCCGTGCTGTCCTCTGCGGGAGGGGAAAAATATTATGCGGGGGCTCCGCCCCGAAACGCCCTCCGCTGGAGGATGGTGTTGATAGGAAGCAGCACGTGTGACGTCGAGCGTCCCGCTCTCGCGTCTGATCGGGGGGCGCCCCCCCACTTTTCGTGCTGCCGAACAGCCGCCGCTGGCGGCACCGTTCACCCAGGGCTACTTCAGCGCTCGTCGATCGGGGTGCCGTCGGCAAGGAAACGAGGGCACTGATTGCCCCAGTAGCCCTCCTGGAAGCACAAGCGGCACACATTGTGCCCCGGCAGCTCCGAGGGGATGCTCCCCAGGGCAAACTGGCTCGCTGCGGACGCGGAGGCGCCGCCCCTGCGCGTCTTTTTGGGTCTCTCGCTGACCGGGCCACCCCGCTTGCTTCCCATGCCGTGGCCCGCAGCGGAGTAGCTCGCTCCCGAGCACCCGCCGCCTGTTGCGGCCGCGCCGGAAGCCGACCTATGGCGGACTGGTGCCTCGTACCGCACCGGGGCAGCTTCTTCTTCTTCTTCTTCTTCTTCTTCCAAGACGGCGCTGTCGCACTCCGACGAGGCCGGCTCCTCTCCACTGCTTGACCCGGTCCGGTGGGGCGATGCACGGTCGTCTCGGGTGCCTGCGCCTGCGTCCTCACCTGGCGAGCCTGCTTTCTCAGCTTTTCCGCGCGGTCAGCGCGGTGGGCGGCCTGGCGGCCGGGGGCGAGCGCCCCGCAGGCCGTTGCAGCCGGAAGATCTTCCTGCAGGGCAAACACGGCACCGCGTGCATTTCTTGCCGTCGCGAACCTTGTCGTTCCAGCGCTCGGACCGGTCCTCCGATGCGCGCGGCGACGGGCGGGCCAGTTGGCCTGGATACGCCGCGCGGAAGAAGTTCCCGAGCCAGAGCAGCCAGCAGCTGTCGCTTAGCTCCAGGACCGTCTTGCGATCGAGCGGGCGCCACTGATCGTCCACTTCAAAGACTTGCTCTTCGTCCGCCACGTCTTCCCCCGCCGTGCCGTCGCCGCTGCGCTCCCAGTGCACCCGGCACGCAGGTCCCGGCCCCGGGCCGAACTGGGGCTCGCGCCCCGCGTTCTTGCCCTCCTTGCGCTCCTTTGGGGCCGGGGCGCCGCCCCGCGGCGCCCAAGTGAGCCTCAGGTGGCAGGACCTGGCGGCCGACGCCCGATTCTTCCTTGTCCACGGCGCGCTCTGCGCGGGGAGGTTCCCGGCTGCGGCCCCGCCGCTCTACGTCGCCACCCGACGGGGGCGCCGCCCTCGCGTCGTCGCGGCCAGCAACGGCGCGGAAACAGGTGGCGGATGGCTCGCGTGCGCAGGCGCTTGCTTGGGCCCCGGCGGCTGCGCGATGCACCTTGCCGCAGGAGTGGGGGAGGAGAAGGTGGGGCGGAGGGCCCCGTTGCTTCCCGTCGCCGGTCGCCTTGCCTCGCCTGATGGCCTGGGCCCCACATCATGCGCGCGTGCTCGACTCGTTTCCATGAGCTCCCGTACCTTGTCGCTCATGTCACCTTCGCCTAACCCGTCTGATATCATCCACCAGTCAGTAACCACCTCGACCCTCCTTGTTTTCATCTCTCTGCGGGCCGCATGACGCGTGGGATTTCAAGGCGGCGAGCCACGCAGCATCGTGCCAATCGTCGGGGATGTTGCCTTCGATCTTCACATGATCTCACAGGCTCCGACAGTCGGTACGCGGCGTGAACGGCATCTGTGACTCGCCGTGCTCCACCGCCGGTGCGTCGCTCCATCCGTGCAGGGCCTCGCGCAGGAGCGCCCGCATGTAGTGGGCCATGCCGTGGCCCGCGCGGCCGTGCACGCCGCCGTCTCGGCGGAAAACGTTGACGCAACCACGCGGTGGCTCGCCCGGCTGCTCCAGTCCAGGATGGATATCGGCAGCTCTTCCTGCTCCATGCAGTCCAAGTCGACCGCGGCGGTCTTCCACCAGAGCTTGTGACGATCGAACCCCTTAAGGTCCTCGTCTGTCTCCGGGAGTTCGCTGACGTTACAATAAAGCGAAGAGTCATGCCAGCAGCCCACCCCAATGCGGCCCTTGATCGGCGCGATTCTCAAGCAGATGTCGCGGCTGGCTTTAACGTCCATGAGGCTTTCTGTTCAGCTCCCACGCGTGTGCATGGGTCCGCTCCTTCTGTATCATCTGGAGCCGGTTCGTCTCAAAGGCCTTGTCTAGCCGGTGCTGTCCGGCCAGCCAGTGTAGGGGGCCCGCCGCCGACTGAAAATCTGCTCTATCGAGCGGAGTGAGCGGCGTCTCCCCCTTCCCGGTCCGCCCGCAGTTGACCTCCTCCAGGCGTCCGTCAGTGAACTCCGGCATGCTGACAGCAAAGCAAGCCCCGTTCACCTTGACCTGACGGCCGGTGTAGAGGTCACCGTGCGTCTGTCCAGACACCACCGTCCAGGACCCAAACGGGAATTTCTCCTTGAGTTTGTCCTCATTGCACCGAATCATCGCACTGCCGTCGCGTGCGATCATGCAGTCGTCCATATGAACGATTGACGTGCCAGTGAGGCGGTCGTCCTGGTGGAAGCAGAAGAACGCCGCGTCCAGCTGAAACTGCTTCCAACCCATTTTTTCGACCAAGGCCATGCGGAAGGTGTTGAACCGTGCTCATGGGGCGTCCGGCAGCCCGTATATTCGTTTTCCCGATATTGAGCAATTGGCCTCGCTCCAGTCCGAGCAGGCCGCCTCTTGGCTGTCGCACGTATCACGCTTCCTGGCCCAGGCGTGGCTTCCCCTGGAGGAATGTGTTCGAGATGTCACCGATCGATAGCTGGGGATGCCATCCGAGATTCGCGGACAGCTGCAGGAGACCGTAGAAACCGAACCATTGCACGGTGGGGGCGTCGGTCCTCACCGCGCCCAACTTTGCGTCGGGGTCATGCTGGCCCTGCCCGCGCAGCCAGGCCCTTGCTTTTACCGGTGGCGGGGTCCTTGTGCCGCGCAAAGCCGCGTTCTTGTCCTTCAGTTTCATGTCGCTGCCGAGGATTCGCCGGCGATCCGCTGTTCGCAGCACTTCCTCCGACTCATCTGGCTCCAGCACGGTCGCGCGCTGATAGCGCAGCGACGAGTCCCGCTCCTTCTCGATCGCTGCGCGGAAGTCCCCATGCTGTGCCGGTGCGATTACTTCCCACTTCGACTCTCGGTCTCGAGTCTTGCGGTTCAGCATGGCGGACCCCGCTCCCATGTGTTACGCCGACATTACTTCGTGCGCGGGCATTTCCACCGTGGCGAGCGTCGACTCGCGTCTCCGCTTCTTCTCTTCCTCGAACAACGCGAGCATTCGAGGTCGGATCACTTCCCCAGGATTCATCATTTGAGCCCGCTGGGCCCGATGCTCGGTGCAACGCCTTGTCCCCCCGTGCTTCTCATAAGTCGCGCGGAGCAGCCGCTCCTCCGCAGGGTGCCGCCTCTCCGGCGTCACCCGGGCCCAAACATTGCACGGGCTCTGGGCGGTCTGTCCCTGCTCGGTCAGGGCCCATCCCGGGGCATTCGCGGGCCGCGCCAGCTCCAGGGGGAGGCCCGCGGGCCGGCCGCTCCCTTATGCGGCCCCGAGGCTCGCGGCGGCGTCGCCCACGACGCTCGTCGACCTCTGCCGCCGCTGGGTCGTCCTCCCTCGCCGAGGGCAGGGGCCCGTCGTCGGATTCCTCCCCCGGCGCCAGGCCTCCGGCCGCTTCTAGGTCCTCTGGTTCGGGATTCAGTCCCGTGAGGTCTTCGAATTCCTCGCGACTCATCGCCTGGCAGGTCTCGTCGAGCGACCCGCGCAGCCCCATCTTCGGCCAAGTGTTCCTCTTCGGGACTGAGCGGCCATGCGTGTTCAGGGGCGACCAGAAGTGGCCCCCCGCCGTGCCGCGCCCACGCGTAGTCGTTCTTTCGGCCGAACACTGTAGCAGGGCCGCACCATTTCGGCTCGTTCACCCGATGGCCCATTTCGGTACGGAAGGGCCTGCAGAAGAACGCCTGTTCTCCTTCGCTCCAGTCCTTAAAGTTGCCGCGGCTCCGCGCGGCCATTGCCCGCTGGACCAGCTCTTGGCTCCTCGTCTCGATGAGGGACTGTTGGCAGTGCTCGCGGATCTTGAGCCGTCTGGTCAGCGGGTCACCTTCTCCAGCGACGCAAGGGTGCTAGCTCGCCGCCTTGCCCCTGTGCCAGCGCTCGCCCACGAGCTTTATCTTCTGTCCGAACAGCAGCAGAGATGGGCTGTGGCCGCACTGCCCGGGGAGTGATTTAGAGCAGAGGCCGTCTCCCAAGCGAAGGTCTTCATGTCGTCCAGGCCTCTGTGGGTTCCATGTCGGATGCTCTTCTTCATCGCGCCTTTTGCCTCCTGAATCTTGCGCCCCATCTTGCCCTTCTTCCAAGGGGCATGCGCCGCGGTTGGGTTGCAAGCGCTTTCGCGACAGGGCGCCCACAAAGCTGCCTCTCGCGAGTCCCCGCGCGTTGTCGGACAGAAGCTGGTCGGGCGGACCGGCCCGCGACAGCCGTAGCTCTTCGTGCCGTTCCAACAGCTCCTCGCTGGCGTGTGCCTGCGCGAGCCCGATCGCGCAGTGTCCCGTGGCCGCGTCCTGCGCCAACATGAACCGCCAGCCTTCGCCACTCTGATCGCTGACCTTGAACAAGTTTGCCTGGACCACCTCGTTTGAATGTCAGATCGTCCTCGCGCAGGCGGGCCGGGCCGGGGTCGTTTGCGCGGCCGCTCAGCGCAGCTCGAGCACCGCGGCGCCGCGGCACCAGCGACGGCCACCTTGGGCCCGCCTGCCTTCGCCACCATGCGCGCCAGGTCGTCCAGACTGGCGTGTCCCGTGTTTATGTGCAGCCTCCCCGGGATCCGCCAGACTTCGGGCGTCTTGCGCTCCTTCATATTCTTCCCCGCCGTCGTGTTGGGGAGCTGGAAAGTGATGCCGTCCGGTGTGGCTGCTCCGCTGTCTTCTTCTGCTGTGGCCGTATAGGGTAACGAGCAACCGTGGACTTGACCTGCCCAGGCCCCGCGCCGGTGCGCCTCGTCACAGGGCCGCGTCTGAATCGGCGGATTCTTCTTTCCGGTTCTGATATCCGGAGAAACGGTCGCAGTCCACGCGGGGTCTGGAGGGCCATCGGGCGCTGCCGCGCCTGCAACCAGCCGACCAAACCGTCCCTGGTCTTGACGGCGGCGCACTCCATCCGGACCCAGGCGGCGACGGTCGCGCTGTTGGTGGCCCGCCAACTCGGATATCGCGCAACGCCCTCACTCCGCCGACCCGGTGGATCGCACAAGCCGCCGTGTACCGTCTCGACCGACGGTTTGGCGGATAGTATCTGGACGGGGTTCTGGTTCCGGACCAGCGCGCAGCCTCCGAGCCTCTCCTGAGTCTCGACCGCCTTCAGTGCGAAGTCCTCGAGTGCTAGTTAGTGATTTCGGCTGGCTCGCTGTCTCCGCCGATCTGCGTTGCTCCCCGCCAGCCCAGACCTCGTCGCCATCGAGCCCCCGCTCGGAAGTTCGACCGCCGCCAACCTGGGCCTGACCTGCGTCGACATCGCCAGGGCTGCGTCCCGATTCTCATCCCGACTGAGGTCCCCGTCGCACGTCGTATCCCACGGCTGCAAGCACCACCAGCCGTTCTTCGATCCTATGCGACCTACCTCGGGCCACCGAAGAGCTCCGCCGCACCCGCTCGATCGGTGCCCCGACGCGGTTGGGCCCGCTGACCACCGCTGGTCTGGCGCGCCCAGTCTCCGAGCACACCCGCGGCGAACGCGACTTTCGCGAGCAGCGCTCCGCACCTTTTCCATACCTGCTTGGCAGCCTGTCCCGTCAGGAGTCGGCGCCAGGGGGCGCCGCCCCCCTTCCGGCCCGCCTGGCCCTCGTGGCGGCCAGCGCTGGTCGCGTCGCCCGGCCCTCCGTTGCGGCGCCCCATGTCGCCGCGGGCCCCTCCCCAGAGTCCACTTCCATGGCCGCTTCCGTCTTTATCCCCGTGGACTCCCGCTTGGGAGTCAGGCCCCTCGGACTCGGCCCCAGGGCCAGAATCCACTCGGTCTCCACTTGTGCATCGCTCGCAAGCTGCCTGACGTCTCGGATGAGCAATTCCACTGTTTTGTTGCGCCCGTCTGCTCTCGTCAGCCCGATCTCCCTGGCCGCGGCCTCATCCTGCAGCTTCGCCAGCGCCTAGCGCCATTTTCGTCGACCCCTTCGGCAGGGTAGTTCGCGGGTCGGCCTCCGCTGTCTTTTCCTTTACGGGGGCGTCCTTCCTTTTCCGGGGCGCAAGCCTCAATTGGCCAGCGGTCTCCGCTTCCGCTTGATCTCGACGCCATCCCCACTCCTGCATGGCCGTCGTCACCAGCTCGGCCCAGCGCGTCTGCCGGAGGGCCCCCGCCTCCTTTTCCAGGGCCCCGCCAGGAATATCTGGCACCGCGCCTTCCAGATCAGGAAAACCATTTGCAGAGCCGGCCTCCCTCGCGCCGCCCCGGCGCGACGCTGCGCGACCGTGTGGCGCCATGTCGGCCCCCGCTTGCGCGCGAGCGCCCCTGCCGCCCAGGATCTCACCAGCTCGCTGCCGCGTGGGTCTTGAGCCGAGAGGGGCTGCGGTCGCCGCCGTCGCCGCGGTCTTGTCTCGCTCGTCTCCCGCGGCCTCGTCTCGCTCGTCGTCGGTCCGCCGCCGGCCCTTCTATAGCGCGCGGCGCGCGCCCTCGGGTGACGGGCCGCGCCGTGGGAGGCGACCTCGGTGCCGCTCGCGCACTGGCTCGCTGCTCCTTGAGCGGCAATCGGCTCCTGCCGACCGCGCCCGGGGTGATCCCGCCCTCTTTCGCGTGGATGTGCGCCTCCAGCTCCTTCGGGGCGCCGTCCGAGATCAGTGGGGGCACGTCCTCGCCCGCTAGGCTGAAGCGGGCCGCGACTCCCTTGCCGCGCCGTTCCGTGGGCGCCGACGCCGCCGCGTGGCTGTAGATAGCGCCGCCTGTCCCGAACCGATAAGGCTCGCGCTCCTCCGCGACCGTGAGCTCGTATCCCCGCGTCTTCTTGGCGTGCGATGACAGCCGCCTGTCCCAAAGGTCCCGCCGCGGACTTGGCGCGCGCCGTGTCGACCGCGATCGGCCACGGCTCGTCGCCGGTCCCGGCGATCGGCGCGCTCCGTGGGTCCACGAACGTGGGTTCTTCCTCTGGCGTCGGCTCCGCCTCGCCGACGGGCTGACTCGCCGCGGCCGCCGGCCTTCCCCCGCCCTTGCCAAGGGGCCGCGGGCGCGCCGGGGCGCCCTTTCACTGGCCCAGACGTCCGCAGCGCCTGCGCGGAAGAATTTGCTTGAGCCTCTTGACTCGCTCAGCGTTTGCAGCGCTGCCTCCCTTCGTGCCGCCGCGGTAGAACTCGCGCGTCTTCTCCGCCTCGGCGCGGGCCTTCTTCGCATGGGTCACCGTCGCCGTGATGTCCGTCAAGAAGGCCAGCAACTCCTCGAGAACATGTTCGTGCTCAGCCGCCTTTTCCGCTCCCAGATCGCCCTCGGAGTCCATCTCCTCGTCGCGCTCTGCGTCTTCGGGCCACTCGCCGTCGTCGTCGGCGGCTTTGTCAGGGTCATCCTTCTGGCCGCCGCGCGCCGCGTGTGCGGCGCGACCCCCGCCGCGACCTCGCCGTCGACGGTTCCGGTTCAGGTGCTCCCGGTGAGCTCCGCCTCCGCCGCCCGCGCTCGGCTGCAGGGTCGACGTCTTTCTCGGCGTCGACGCGCGGGGCCGGCGTGCCTTGGCGGAGTCCGGCAACTTCTCGTAGACCAGCTCGTTGCCGGCGCCCGTGATGATTTGGCTCTCCTCGTCGCCTTCCACACGCAACTTCTTCAAGAAGTACTGCGCCATCAGGTGCTTGTTCAGAGGCTCGTCCATGGCCTCCTCCAGCTCGCGGATCTTTGTCTCGTAGCGCGTCTCGAAGTCCAGCGCCAGCTCGCCGACGTTGCGCGCGGGCTTCTCCGCGAACTCATCCACCAGCGTGCCGACCTTCCGCGTTTCTTGCTGGTCGTACTTGGTGTGCAGGTAGCGCAAGAGCACCTGGGCGCCGTCGGGCACCGCGAGGGCCTCGGGGTGGATATTTTCCGTCTTTGCCTCGGCATCCCGTTTGAGCCTGGAGAGCAGCCGGCCGCCCCGCCGCTGTGGCGGGATCGCGATGTTCAGCTCGAAAACCTCATCTGGCGCTCGTAGGTGCGGAGTGGCACAGACTTGCCATCCCACTTGGGGATATACTTCTCGTCTCCCCGGTCGCGCCTGTCGCAGTCCCCAGCGGCTCCGCCGACGGCTCGCCAGCCATCCGACCTCCAGGTCTCCGACGTCTCGCTGGACGTCCGATCCAGACCCAAGTCGGTCCCGGCCTCCGCCGTCCACCCGCGCCAAGCGGGCGCCGCATCCAGCCCCGGCCTGATGTGGCCCCAGCGTCCCTGCTCCTCAGGCCAGGGACTTCGCCACTTACGCCAAGGGGGTCCGTGAATGCCCCAATCACTCCACGTGCCCCATCCGCCGTAATAGTGCCTCGCCTCGGCCACGGGGGCCTCCCGCGCCAAGGGTGGTTCCTCCGGCACGCGCCGCAGTGGCGTCGTGCCGCGATCGGCTCACGTTCCATCGTCGGCCAATCGGAACCCGTCATCTTTTTCTGGGCCGCCGGCCCGGGAACTGCCCCCTTCCTCCGCGCGACATGCGAGGGCTCGAGCTGCTGCCGCCTAAACGTCCATGTCCCTTACTGAGGACATAGATGGTTCCCCACTGGGGTCGGCCTCGCTGAGGCTCCTCCACTGCGACCTTCGCGACGGCACTCCGTGCCTTGGATCGAACCCGCTCGATGGTAGCTCCGCTACCAATGTCGATGATGCGCTTTTTACCACAAGCGGCCGTGCCCTGCTGCGGGCAAGTCAAGAGAGGCTAAGAGTTCCCTCCGTCCTAACGTCGGAAGGGCTTGTCGCAGAAAGCTGCGTCGGGAAGGGAGGTATGTGGATGTGGCAGTTGTGACCTTCAACATATGTAGTAACTTGGAACTGATCACGGACGAAGTGGTGGAGCATGTGGAAGAGGAGGGGGGAGGAGGATGACGAGGAGGGGGAGGAGGTGGGAGAGGACGAGGACGCCAAAAACGAAGACTCATATGACGAGGAGACGAGGCGGATTTTCTATCCGCATTCCCGCCGGGGCTTGACCGGCGAGGAGGGAGGGGAGGAAAACGAAGAGGACGAGGAGGTGGGGGGGAGCGAGGGGCGACGATAACGAGCGGGACGGGTTCCTTCTCGTCGAACTGCAGCAGCAGCAGCGACAGCAACTTATCCGCTGCGGCCTGGTCCGCCACCGTCGTCTGCACCCAATCCGCACGGGCGGAGCTGGCCAGCAGCAGGGCCAACGCAGGGTGGCAACGCCTCGCTGCTCCTCCGCTTCCGCCTCCGCCTCCGCCTCCGCCTGCTCCTAATCCTCGTCGCGCTCCTCCCTCCTGCTGCCTCCTCTCTTTTCCGTCGTCCGCTCCTCCAGCTCCTCCCCTTCCCCTCCCCTTCCCCTCCCGTTCCCCTCCCCCCTTCTCCCCTCACCTCTTCTCCCATTGCCGCCTCTCTTCCCCTCTGGCTTCCTCCCTACCTCCCCCCTCCCCTGCTGATGTTGAAACCTGCTCCCTTCCTCCGTCCACCCTTCCCCCCCTCCCCCTCTCCCCCTCCCGCTTCCCCCTCTCCCTCCCCCTCCCTCCCCTTCCCTTCCCCCCCCTCCCTTCCCCCTGCCCTCCGCTTCCCCTCTCCCTCTCCCCCTCCCGCCCTCCCCCCCTTCTCCTCTTCCTCTACAATTACACACTATGAATACTACTCTCCTCCTCGCTCCCCTGATGATGTACGGGAGATTTTCGCCCCCCCCCCCCCCCCCCCCCCCCTCGCGTATTGTTTTTTACGCAAAGAATCCCCGGGAAATAAATTGTCGTTTTTTTTTTTGTTTTTTTTTTTTTTTGTTGTTGTTGTTTGTTTGTTGAAAATGTTGCTCCCGCTGAAGCGCTGGCGTCATTATTTCCAGCGCCATGCCACGGTATGCAATGCAATGCTACGTGGTGTTCCGCAGTACGATGCCATGCCTTCAACTGCAATGCTAGGATATGCAGTGCTTGACTACGCATTGCCACGCCATGCTATGCCATGCTACGCTTTCATTTTCAATGCCATACTATGACATATTTTGTTATGTGCCGCTGTGCGATGCCATTTTTTGCATTGCAATGCTTATGATGCAATTCTTCACTACGCAACGCCACGCCATGCTATGACATACTACGCTGTGCCGTGCTCTTCTACGTCCTGCTATGCTGTGCTATGCTGTGCTCTGCGATGCATCGCGCACCGTCTCGGGATTATTGCCCTGCTCGACATCCGACTGTGCGAATAGAGAGGCTATCTACGCCATGGTAAGGGATGGGAGGGAGGGGTAGGACGTCAGATATGACGCGAGCGCACCTAGCTTGCCCTCTCCCACTCGCCCCCCTCTTCCATCCCGTCGGGGAGGGTGTACGACTCGAGTTTGGGGGACTTCAACTTGCCTGACAAAGACGTCAGACAAATGATGTGACCTAAAATGGCATTGGCCGCGGTCTCCCGCTACACACATCGGTCTTTGGGCCCCATTTTGGTACTCCTCCTCTGCTTTCTCCTTGTCTCTGTTTTCTTTCACTGTAGTGTGTCTCATTTGCGCCATCGAATGCTGCTCGAGGCTCCTTTTCATAATCTTCCTCCTTCTCCTTCACCACCTCCTCCCCCTGTGGGAGAGTCACCCGCTGATCCTCTGGTGGTGGACTTTTTCTCCTCCCCACGGGGTGGGATGGGATGGTGGTGGTTGGGGGAGGGCCACAAACACACATCGACAACTTACCCACTAATGTACCGAACCCTTTTTACACATCTGGCGACTATAACCAGTACCGCTTAATTCCTAAATCATGAATAAACATATACGTAGTCCCCTTTGACACTTCGCCGAATAATGCCTGACACGCCCAATGCTCTCCATTCGTGCGCTAACTCTTCCGATCCGGACTAGGCGTAAGACGCCACTCCGCTTGACCATCAAGGAACGACTTTGTCGCTGTTCGCCGCCCCGCTGGAAAAGCGAAATCTACTTCGGATGGGCGTAGGACACCACTCCGCTAGACCTCCCGCGGCAGCAGCGACACTTGCACAGTTCGCAGCCCCCATGGAGCCGCAATGTTTAGCACTACGCTGGACCCCCCAGAAAAACAACCAAGTGGGGACAATTGCGAAATTCGCAGCTTCCAAAGGCGGCGATGTCTCACTTTGCTTTGCGTAGGACGTCACTCCGGGGACTTACCGCACCTGTCGTACACGCGTGGCGACGTTATGCCCAGGACCGCCCACGACATAATAAGCTTTGAAGGGGCCATCGTACTCCTGAACGCATCGCCACGGAACGTCTCACCACATCAAAATGTGTCCCGTTCACGGTGCCACTCTTGCGACTCAGATTATCGACAGGAAGGCGACCACGAGCAGACAAAAGGAGCACAATGATGGCAGACACGCACGGGCGAGGGAGAGGCTTTGAGACATAATTGCGAAACGCCTTCCCATAAGCTCAGATACGTGGCGACAATTGCGTAATTCGCAGCCCCTCAGGACGCCGCGAGATCTACCCGGGAACTGCGTGGGGCACAACTCCACTGGACCTCCAGGAACCCACGCAAGCTCAGCAAGGAGGGCGAGGTCTAGTTCTGATCTGCGCAGGACGCTACTCCGCTGGACCTCTCAGGAGCCAACGAAATTTGTGACTGTGTCGCAGTTCGCAGCCTCCCAAGGACGGCGAGGTCTGTCTCTGATCTGCGTGGGCCCACGAACGTGGCGGCAATTGCGCAGTTCGCAGCCCCCTCCAGGGACGGCGAAGTCTCATTCTGATCCGCGGCGCTTAGTTGCCCCGCTACGCAACACGCAACACGTATCGTATTGATACGGAGCTCAGCGCGTAGGCTGAACACGTAGGTCCGACGCGATACACTCGCCAAAACGTGGTCCAATACGTGGAGCCAACACGCAACGTATTGACACGGACGTCTTGAACACGGGACGTATTGCGTTTCAAAACGGACGTATCGAGGCAACTAAGGATCCGCGTTGGACACCACTCCGCTGGACATCCCATGAGCCATCGACCGTGGCGACAGTTGCGCATGTGCAGCCCCCAAGGGGCGGCGAAATCTCACTCACTCGGATCCGCGCAGGACGCCGCCCGGCTGGACCTCCCAGGAGCCCACGAGCATGGCGACAATTGTGCAGTTCGAAGCCCCGCAGGGAAGGCACTGTCTGGTTCTGATGTGCGTGCGACGTCACTCCACTGGACCTCCCAGGAGCGAACGACAATGGCGACAACGGCGCAGCTCGCACCCCCCACAAGGACGGCCAGATCTCAATCTGATCCGCGTGGGGCACCACTCCGCTGAACCTCCCAATAGCGAACGAACGTGGCGACAGTTGCGCAACTCGCAGCCCCCAATGGACGGCGAGGTCTCAATCGGATCAGTTCAGGACGCCACTCCACTGGACTTTCCAAGAGCCAGCGACAGTGGCGATAATGGGGCAGTTCGCACCCAGGGGACGGCGAGGTCTGGTCCAAGTCTGTGTAGGACGTCACTCCGCTGGACCTCCCAAGGGCCCACGGACGTGGCGACCATTGCGCAATTCGCAACCACCCCAAAAGACGTCGACATCTAGTTCTGATGCGTGTAGGGTGCCACCCCGCTGGACCCCCCAGGAGCCATCGAACGTGGCGACAATTGCGCAACTCGCGACCCCCATCGGACGGCGGGGTATCATTCCGATCCGCGTAGGACGCCACTCCGCTGGACCTCCTAGGAATCAGCGAGCGTGGCGACAATTTCGCAGTTCGCAACCCCCTCGGGACGGCGAGGTCTCATTCAGATCCGCGTTTAGCGCCACCCCAGTGGACCTCGCAGGAACAAGCGAACGTGGCGACAATTGCGCAGTTCTCAGCCCTGAAGGGGCGGCGAGGTCGGATTCTGATCCGCGTAGGACGCCACTCCACTGGACTTCCCAGGGGCGAACGACATTGGCGACAAAGGCGCAATTCGCAACCCCCATGGGACGGCGATGTCCCATTCGGATCCGCGAAGGGCACCGCTGGCTGGATCTCCCAGGAGCCAACGAAAGTGACGACAATTGCGCAATCGGCAACCCCCATCGGGCGGCGGGGCATCATTCTGACCCGCGCAAGACGCCATCCCGCTGGACCCCCTAGGGGCGGCGAGGTCTCATTCTGATCCGCGTAGAACGCCACTCCCCAGGACCTCTCAGGAACAAGCGAATGTGGCGACAATTGCCCCGAAAAGGCGGCGACGTCTTATTCATATCCGCGTAGGACGCACTCAACTGGATCTCCTAGGGGCCCACGAACATGGCGATAGTATCGCAGATCGCAGACGCCCCTTCAACGCGAGCAGGAGGAAGGGATAAGCAGGCGACAGAAGGATGAGGAGGGTGCAGAGGAGAGGAAGGGCACATGGCAGGATGAGGGAGGCGGGAGGAGGATGACAGGGAGACGCGCGATCAGCGATCTATTCAAAACGAACCTCCCAACCAGGGGAGGGTTGGGAACAACGGAGGCGTTTGTTCTGAATTGTTTTGTTGTCTTCCCCTCTTTGAACAGAACAATTCTTTCAGATTTCGGAATCATTCCTCAGGGCTCCTCCCCCTTCCCTCCTCCTCCTCCTCCTCCTCCTCCTCCTCTTCCTCCTCCTCCTCCTCCTCCTCCTCCTCCTCCTTTTCCTCCTCCCAAAGATTTCATTGGATTCCTTTTGGCATCCTAGCGGATTTATGTGACATCCTCAAGACTCCTACGGGAGGGGCGAGGGGGGGCCTCCTCCCGCAAAGAACCCAAACGACCTACACGTAATACTAATGATCTTCTTGGGACGTCTCAGCGAATCAGTCCTGAAAACTTCCCACGGCATTCCAACGACCCCTCCGGCCTTGTCAAAGAATTCCTCAAGATTTCGAAAAATAACTGAAACCATTCCACAGAACATGGGGGGACCGTGTGGGTTTCTGGATGTTTCCAATCGGATCCGTTCATGATTCTTGAGAAAAGCTGAAAACATCCTCCAAATATCCGGCTGTTGTCTAGTGGAATCGTCAGCATGGCCAAATACATCCCTAAACACCCATGTGGCGCACTAAGGATCGGCAGAAAGAATCCGACTGATCCCTTTTGGAACCGTAGCGGACTTCAAGGGATCTTGGAGAAACCCGGGGCACTTTTCATAACTATTTGTTCAGGAATCCAACCGGACCCTAACTGATGTTGTGGGTGCCCTAGGCAACGCAACGCAACAGCCATGCGCCGTCCGTCGCGTGGGCGGGACAGCAAG